TAGGGGGGGGGGGGGGGGCTAACACGGGGTGACGACGCATCTGTATAATCTGCGGCAAACCGTTTCAGGGTGTTCTGTACCATAAAAATAGTACAGAGATTCTTTTGTTCTTTAGACCAAATTGATTGTTAAAAAGAGTAAAGAATACGCATGTTAATTTCTCTAGAACGATGTACCTCTGACGAAGACATGAGATCTCCGACCTCTAGTTTGAAATTAAAATTAAAACATAAAAGTTGTTTCTAAGTAAGGTGTCTAATATGATAGTCAGTCAAAACTGCAATTTTTTTCCTGGCTTGAAACTTTTTCAGATCTTTTCATATTTTCATTTTGACTTTGAGAAATTCTGGATTGGAACTTAAGAAGAGTTTGAGAAATCTTGAATTGTGCAACTGGATCTAGGGTAGGGTTTCAGCAAGGACAAATCTGGATGGGAACAAAACTTGGGCTTGTACCTCTTCCATCCCCCTCTACCTTAAGTCCTTGGTACAGCCCAATAAACCATCCCTTTCACCCCTCTACCCTACATTCTTGGTACAGCCCAATAAGCCAATCCTTTTACTGCAAAGATACGGGTATCTATTCAGTGAAAGTGGTTGCTTTATTCAACCGATATCCGAGTGTTACCGATTTCTAGTGCTTTTTTCAACAAAATATTCAACAATAACCTGTAAATGTCTTGTCTTAAAAACTATTTTAGAACCGATTAAAAGGTGGAAAAATGACAACAAAAGAATACTCCGCAGTGGTTCACAAGATAACAGTACAGTCTAACGCAATTATACCGGCAAACCTCTACCTTACGTGATGCTGTGATTTTTCCCTACTGACCTAGATTTATCAGATTTCATTTAATCTTGACCAAAGATCGCAGTAGCCAGTCTTACCGTGTCTGTTGTCTGTTATTTCTGCACCTTTTCCCTCCGCAGCCGGCCTGTGGGAGCTTCTGGAACTGGTTCGCGCTGGATCCACCGCAGTCGGGATGGCGATCAGCTGATAGTATTATAAACAGTGGCCTTAGCGGGAGGACAGAACACCGTTCACTTGCAGGAATTAACACGAAGTACTCCCCAAAATTTGATACGTAGACACGATTTTTCTCTACAAATGAACAAAACAATATTTTTAAATCATGCTTTGTACTGTATTGAAAGATAGCTGCTGTTTTTGTAATCAATACGTCAGGAAATATTGTAAAGAATAGGTGAAAGGCACGCAACTAAAGGGAACATTGTTCCTCCCGGTAGTGCGGAAATTCATTGCAACATCTTATTTGGAAGTGAGCATTATCTAGAGGGGACAGGGTATATTTTTCTACAAAACATGAAAAGAAAAATTGACCAAACACCATATTCTTTGTCACTTCAGTAGATTTATGTATAATCTAACTTCAAATCTGTCTACAAAAATGTTCTATTGTCAAATACCATCGCCCTAACACTACGGCAAGATAGTATACATGCTCGAATCACCCCTCTCAACAGAATAGACTCGGCCATTGGGAGGATCCTTCCCAGCCGGATCCAGCCAGTTGCTGGGAGCACCGGCGCCGAATTTTTTGTTCCGTCCTGTTTTAGTTCGTCTGAGTCTTTTGTTCTCTGCACGTCTCTGGCCTTCAAGCCTGTGCTTCAAGCCCTGTTCAACTACGGTTATTACAAAACGCTTTGTTTGCGGCTTGTGTGATTTCAAGGCCGCTTTATGCAATGAGTAAATCTGCACGAAGGACTAGTGTGTGCACACCAGAAATGATGGTTCCGGGTTTTCCCTGTTTAATAATAGGTGCAAGACTGATGCGATAGAGACTAAAGAAAAAGCAGCGGACAATGCTTAGTCTTCTTTTGAAGGCTTAAAAGGGTATTAATTGATGAGAGAAGGTAGCCTAGCCTGGGTACCATCCTACTTGTATGCCGGGGCTCCCACACTCGCTTCCCTAAGAAGTACTTCTTGGGGATGGTACCCGAAGTACTTCTTAGGGAAGCGAGTGTGGGAGCCCCGGCATACAAGTAGGATGGTACCCAGGCTAAAGGTAGCCGGCCATCGACGATCAAATACCCTTTTTAGGCCGATTTCTACGATTTATTCAGCCTGCAAAAGCAGTCTGGTGGAGACTAGACAATGATCGGCATTCAAAACATAGTTTTTGGGGAACAGACAAGCCAGCAAATGCATTTCTGTAAAATTAAAGCTGTATGTACTGTGGGGTTTTGTTGGTTGTTATCGGAAGATGTCAGGTTGTTTGTAAATGAGTCATTCTCACAACAAAAACAGCTGTCATCGCGGGCGCTGGCACTTCCGGGTTTCCCAGCATGACGCAATACACTACGTCATCTCCAAGCAGATGTAGGGTGGTGGCTCGTTTTACTCGAAAAGAAATGCAGATTTCCACAATATTCAGCCTCCGTTGTCGCTTCAACCGTCCAGTAAATTCAATTGATGTACATTTCGGGTTACCTGACACCCTAAACAGTGTTTCAAAGGTTTAAAGCTGGATTTTTAATCAAGTAAAAGAGGTGCCACAATACTTCTAGGCGTTGGATATTTCTGATTATTTCTAATATAATTTTCTGCAATCACAATTGATAGGAGAACAGGAAAGAATTCTGTCGTCATGAATGAATTAGCCTTATTTGGGCATGGCAAGAATTATCACCAGGTGTCATGTCCCAGCTGTAGCGCATGCGCACAAGCTGTCTCTAACCGTTGCGACCTTCCACACTGACCAGTTCCAGACTTGGACCTCGTCTGGCGATTTTTCCAGTGCAGTTCTTAGATTAGTTTGGGTAAGTACTCCCTGGTACAACATTGCATATAACGTCTATCATATACATATATAACTTCTATTATATGTAAACATATACGCTCGCCAAGTATGTATAAATTTGTAGCATAATAAAGAACGAAGGTAAAGAACGAAAAAGAGCCACGAATTCAAAGTTCTGTCTTATGCTAAAAAATTATCGCAGCGGCGTTCTTGGAGCGAATTAACTAAAACTTTTCACATAAAGTGCCCATCTTACACAATCAACAATAAAATTCAGACGTTTTATAAACGTTCTGTTCTGTTCTAGTGGTGTTTACAAGTCGTACGTAAAATTCCTACAGAAAATGGCGACAGCGTCAGACGGTACAGCAGCGCCGCCTGCCGGAGACTATCTGTTCTGCAGCGGAGGCCAGCTGAGGATGATGGAGATTAGGGAGGACGCCAGCCCGGCTGACAGGTATGACGTCATGGTTCAGCAAACAAACAAACAAACAAACAGGCAAAGAAAACGATGGGGCAGCCAATCATCTCTGACTCGTTCTTACACCCCACACCATGTGTTAGAATAATCCATTAATAAGGTATTCCGAGGAAGATTAAAGCTGGAAAATAATTAAATATGTTGAGTCAAATCGCCATGTTGGCTAATTACTAGTCCTATATTTAAGGATGTACATTTAGAATAGACGAGGTTTTCAAAGTAATTCTTGTTGCCACTACTTTGTAACTTGTAGAAGCGTAAGGAATTAAGTTATTTATTGATTCATTAATTGAATAATATTTATTGATTTTCCAGGGAGAAGTGGGAGCGCGCCCCGCCCATCCCGCACACACGCACGTCTGAAGAAACCGGACACCCCGTCATGTATGGAGCCTTGGACAAGATCACTAAGGACAACATGAAGGTGAAAATGTTCTACTCTTTCAAATTACTTACTTTGAAATGACTATAGGGATTTTACACATGATAGACCGTGGCGGATGTACCACTACAAGGCATATGCACTTGGATCATGAACTCACTTATCTTACATGCTTTTGTACTGTATCAGGTATCAAGGTAAGACTCCGGTGTGTTTCACGCCCTAAAACAGTCAACCACAGAAGTCAATGCTCTGCCTTTAACACTTTATATTGTCTTCTATCAATGTTGTATGACCTAGAATCAACATGTTAATTGTACTACTAGTACTAGCTGGTAGTCTTAGACTAATAAAACGCCTAAAATAGTACTTTTTACAATGCTTTTCCTTACATTGTACCCGTTGCACGTTGTACAACTTTTGTGCGATAAACCCCGACTACAGCACAACATCACTGAGGCCCGTCTGGACTGGTTTACCGACACGGAGCTCCCTGAAGATCAGCAGGCCCTGTACACCGGGCTGGAGGAGTGTCTCGGCTTCCCCTTCTCCGCACAGGTTTGTTTATTATATTTCTAATGAGCTTAGACAAACCTTCTGTATTGAAATATATCTGTTCTTACATTTTTGCCATTACTAAGGAACGAGAAGAAACCGAATTTACTTAATTGTAGCTACTTGACGATGTATATGTGTAACGTTATCTATATTCCATCATTTCTTGTGACCTGTACTTAATAACCCAGTGGGTATGTGTGTACAATAAAGGTCTTCATTCATTCATTCATTCATTGTTTCAAATACTGCCATTGCAGTGAGCTTTAAAAACCGCAAACTTGGCGATATGCTGACCCTGGATAAATAAATGAAATGAAATTAGTGGCATACATTTCTTCACTACTCTTCCTGGCGTCTTCACATATATACAACGTACATGTAACATCAAGAATTGTTACATACACTTTACTTTAAATGCGTTTGAGTACCGGAATGTATACATGTGCAGGTCTGGCTGCCGGATGACTCCACGGCCACGGTCAAGGTCACGGGGATCATAGACGGACAGGACGGGGTGGAGCGGCCCGGGACGGGGTGCGGGTTCCAAGGTCAGGGTCAAGTTTAGTCGTCCTTCAGCTACCTTCATTGATAGGGAAATGTCTATAGATTTACCACATGTCCACTGATGTATTATATCCATCTGCCCACTGTCTAAGCTTAAGCATTTTTCTTTGGGTTTCTGTCTGTCCGGACAGAGTAGGTTGATACCACGTGGGGAAGATTGACAAGCAGAATGGCGCCGAGTAGGATAATTACCATTATCCATTTACCGATTTTCTAATATCATCGTTATTAATAAGCTTTTTGACTCCAGGTATGGAAGTATTGTTTTGGGTGGCTGAGCTGTGGGTTTGTGTGTGTCCGGTCAGAGTAGGTTGATAGCACGTGGGGAAAGATTGATAAGAAGAATGACAGGACGTCAAAAGGTCAGACACAGGAAATGGCTCTGACCGGAAGCCAGGACAGACCGACATGGGGGAATTCAGGAAGCCGAGGATTTCCAGAATCGCGCTTTTATCCAGAATTATATGCATGGAGCAAAATCTGCCTCATTGGTTACGCAGAAACTTTCCAGAACCGTGCCTGATCCGAGCCATTACCCATTCAGGCATAGAACTAGATAGGCACGGTTCTGGATACAATGAAGCCCCTCCAATAGTCCTGATAAAATCTCCGTTTTTTTCCAGTTGAGTACATGGGCCACGAGCTGATGCTGCCTGTTGACGACTTCGTGAACGAGCTGGCTTCTCCTGATGACGTGGACGAGGCGTGGTTGGCCAGTCCGGCTGCAGTGCCAGCTAAGGTACAAACAACAAACATTTCCCTAGCGTTTCTTATTGTACAACTTGAGCTCCCATGTGGGGTCATGTGGGGTAACTACAGAGCAATCGGCTCTGAACCAAGATGTTCTGAGTTCGAATCCTGCCATGCCACCGTCTTGTGCCTTTGAGAAAGACACTTGGCACGGATTTCCTCACTTTACTCAGGTGAAAATGAGTATGTTCTCCTTTAATGCGTCTGTCTGCGTTTGTGGCTACAAAAACATAACTTGAAAAACTTAAGTACACCTTTCTCATGTCTGTAATGAATGTTGGATTAAAAAAAACATAGAAAGTAACGAATAGGGTATTTACGTCGATGAAGGTTAGACATCCAGGTAATACGATACGCCAAAAAAACAGTTACTCAAGCAACTGGATATGATTTTTGGAATGATTGATTTCCAAAAATCATATCCAGTTGCTAGAGTAACTGTTTTTTGGCGAATAGGGTATTTCTTTATAAATCATTCCAGCAATAACTGTTTTGTTCTTCAGGTGTTTGCCATAGTCCGGGATTTCTATGACAACGCCGTCTTCACAGAGGGCTGCATCTTCTTCAGCATCTGGGATGACGTCAGGTATGACGTATGCTACGAGGCCCAGAAGAAGGAAATGCGGAAGGTATTGTTGTAGGGTACAAGAGTTTTCTTTTACACAACCAAACTATTTTACCTTGCTGACGTTTCAGTGTCTGTCAGACTTTAGACACCTTCCTCAGAGCTTCTGACTGTTTAATGATTGCATGTTATTAACAATTTGATTATTTCTTTTCTACTTACCGTAAACTTTCTTTGCAATCTATCGTTACAGCAGCCCGTTCCAATTAGGTTATACAAAACCCGTGCGTTACATACTTTAAAACTATAAACGGGTCACGTACAGCAAACAATTGGGATCGTAACGACAGAGTGCTTGACTCGGAACCAAGTGGTCCCGGGTTCGAGTCCTGACATGCCACCGATCCTGTGTATGCTCATTGGAAAATAATGCACTTTTCGCGACTTTCCTCATTTAACTCAAGTGAAAATGAGTATTTTCCTGTCCTGTATTCGTCCTCGGCGTTCGTGGCGGAATAAAATAAGTTGAAAAAGCTTGACTGTGCCACCACCATGTCTAACCATGAAATGTTGGAAGTAAAAAAGTAAAAAAACTTGTCTATGCACCCCAGTGCCAAACGGCAGTGAACAAGGACTACTTCGACAACCCCCCTCCGATTAAGAAGATGAAGTCTTTCCCCAAGATGAACTCGGAAGGCCGACTTAACTCCGTTGTCCGTCCCTTCCCTCTCTACCAGGTAAGACATGTGAGGAGTTTAATTGAATGAAATAAACTTTTAAAGAATGAATGAATGAACTTCATTGCTCGACACTCGTATATGGTACAATGAGTGGTAGTAAGATAAGGATATATACTAGTACTACACGACTAAACTATATTACAATTATTACTACAAACTACTATCGCGATATATGAATTCAATAAGGTCATGTATTGATGATTTGTTCTCGCTTATGTGATGAAGTATACAGAAATTGACCTTTGTAGGTAGATAAATGATTTGTCCACGACTTACCTTTTTACCTAATATGATGTCAGCAAAGGGTCAATGGTTGTTGGAAGTTGATATCGGCCCCCGTCCCGGTAGAGGGACGGATGCATATGGTTTCCGTTGTTTTCATAACCGTGCCTATCTATGCCTGGGTTAGGGTTAGGATAAGGCATGGTTCTGGATATAGTCTCTGTACGTAGATTTGTCCCAGGCACGGTTCTGGATTTGCATGGCTATCCAGAACCATGATCAGTTATAACAACTAAAAGAGTAGTTTTTGTTCTGCCCCTTAGATGTCCCTGGCGCTCCACACCTACCTGTCTACTGTGGCCACGTTTCCTCTGGACCTGAAGCTGAAGTACGGAGGAGGCGTCGTCAAGGCAACGGGGATGGTTCCATATAAGGCGGAAAACTTCTTCCAGGTGGGTCTGTTCACAGACAGATCCTGTAGCTTCGTCTTCGTTCCTGCACACTAAGAAATACAAAGCAAAAAAAAAATAATAATAATAACGTATGTAGAAAAAGCAAAGCAAATGTATTGTTAACCTTCACATGGTCTAGCCTATCCACTATTGTTTGCTAACCCAAACAGCCATATCATGGTATGGTGACCAGCCACTCCAACGCTGTCCTGCAGCTTGCTACATAATGTAACCCGATACCGTATGGTGTCTGCTACAGTAGGGTGGTGACAGTCGCCAGGTCCATGTTATGGATGGTTGATCAGTCTATTTCCCGTGTTTGTTTGTTTATTTGTTCGTTTGTTTTGCCTAAATGGTGAAATTTATGTTATAATATTTGTTGTACAATTATAGGAGTCCCGGGGCTTGTACGTGACCGTAGACCTGCCGACCGCGCGGACGGAAGCGCCGCCTAGCAAGAAGCGCAAGAACAGCAGCACCAGGACCGTGGCGTTGAGCGTGCACGGCGTGGAGCCCTGCGACACGACCCCTGACCCCGTGCGGAGGTTCCTGGAGGACCTTGCGGAGCTGATGGAGGGAGAAAACGGCATGTGTGTGCTGAAGACGCGCTTCCGGTCCATACACATAGAGCTACCATGTATGTATGCTTCTTGTCACCTTCCGACCTTGCCCCTAACCCTAACCCTGAAAATAACCCTAACCCAACCCCTAACCCTAACCCAACCCCTAACCCTAACCCAACCCCTAACCCTAACACAACCCCTAACCCTAACACAACCCCTAACCCTAACAACTAACCCTAACCCTAAGCCTGAAAATAACCAATCCTAACCCTAAACCTGAAAATAACCCTAACCCAACCCCTAACCCCAACCCCTAATCCTAACCCAACCCTTACCCTAACCCCTAACCCTATCCCCAACCCCTAACCCCAACCCCTAATCCTAACCCAACCCTTACCCTAACCCCTAACCCTAACCCTAACCTAACCCTAACCACTACCCTTAACTAACCCTAACCCTTACCCTGAAAATAGCCCTAACCCTGAAAATAACCCTAACCCTAACCCTGACCCTGAAAATAACCCCTAACCCTAACCTTAACCCTAACCCTAACCTAACCCTAACCACTACCCCTAACAACTAACCCTAACCCTGACCCTGAAAATAACCCTAACCCTGAAAATAACCCTAACCCTGAAAATAACCCTAACCCTGAAAATAACCCTAACCCTGAAAATAACCCTAACCCTGAAAATAACCCTAACCCTGAAAATAACCCTAACCCTGAAAATAACCCTAACCCTGAAAATAGCCCTAACCCTGAAAATAGCCCTAACCCTGAAAATGACCCTTACCCTAACCCTGACCCTGAAAATAACCCTAACCCTGAAAATAACCCTAACCTTGAAAATAGCCCTAACCCTGAAAATAACCCTAACCCTGAAAATAACCCTAACCCTGAAAATAACCCTAACCCTGAAAATAACCCTAACCCTAACCCTGACCCTGAAAATAACCCTAACCTTGAAAATAGCCCTAACCCTGCACCTTCCAGGTATGTCTACCTCTTATCACCTTAAATTCGCCTATTATATATATAAAATCGTGCTTCTGCCGGCCCTCCCGGTGGTCATGAGGTGGGGGTCATTAACCTCCGGCCGAAGGCTTGTCTGTGGCTAATCTTCAAATGTGTCACCCCCATAACAGATCTTGACCAGTTCAAGGCGAAGATCTGTAGTACACAATCTAGCGAAACTGCAGTGTAAAATAGGACAACGTCAATGCACAATAAGTTGTTTAAGACTCACTAGGCATCTGTTGAATTCAGAACCATGCTCAGGCACTATCCAGGCATTATTCTGGATAGTCCACGCGCATCCAGAACCGGTACCTGGTGCAAATCTACGTTCTTCGATACACGGAGACTATCCAGAACCGTACCTGATCCTAACCCTAACTCTTTCAGGTATGGAACTAGATAGACTCTTCTCTTTCAAGCAGTTCCATGTTCTGTATCTGTTATGTACATTTGATACCAACTTTATCTTTCTTCTGGTTCTGGCAGTGAGGAAGAGGAGAGGAGGACAGAGAGGGAGTTTGGTGGTGCGGCCCCCTGACCCCAACCGTGCTCTGATACTTAGACAACTTCGAGAACTTATCGGGAACTGAGAAAAAGCAGGAAGCAGCGGAATCACACAGCTGGCTGAGAAAACAGTTTTAGCTAGGTTTGAAGACAGTCATGTTTTAAATGCGAACAGTGTTCCTTTTTTTGAAGTTTTAGAAGTATGTAAACAATGTGTCGGGATCGTTTAGTGCAGTAGTGAACTTAATAAAGTCTCATTTTTTAAGTTCGTAACCTCTTCTTCTAGAATTGGATAAGTTAGTTCACATTCTCAGTAAGTTGATGATACATGTACCTTTTTTCACGTTAGGAAAGGAAAGTGATCTCGATCCAGTTTTAGCTACGTAATTACGTAAGAAAAGGAAAGTGATCTCGATCTAATTCTAGCTCTCTACGTAAGAAAAGAAAAGTGATCTCGATCTAATTTTAGCTACGTAATTACGTAAGAAAAGGAAAGTGATCACGATCCAATTTTAGCTCTTTACGTAATTACGTACGGAAATGAAAATGATCTCGGTGCGATTTTAGCTCTAATATTACGTAAGGCTCTAATTAAGGAAAGTGATCACGATCTAATTTTAGGTCTCCACGTAGGGAAAGGAAATCAAAGTAAAATCTCGATCCATTTTTAGCTCACTGAAGAGCTAATCTCCTACTAGACGTAACAGAGAAGACAGACGCTATGTACAGTATTTACAGGTTCATTGTACCGGGGAAATTCACCTAGCTCTTTTCGACAAGCACAGTGAACAGTGGACCACAACTTAACGTCCCGTCTTAGGGACTGCAACCCTAAACAATAGCGGGCATGTCTGGTGTGAGCGACAACAGTCGGGGTTCAAACTCCCAACCTTTTGGTCTAGAGGCAGGGTCGCTAACCACTGCACTACGCACGTTACGTAAGGAGAAGACATGTCCAGTAACCCGAACATAGTTGGGTCTTAGAAGTGGTTAGTAACGACAACACCACATTGGCACCGAGTTGTTGTGACTATGGATACGCGGCAGGTGTGGGGCGATCTTTAGCGCAGTAATTTTGCTTGGTGAAGAAAGCACGAGTACACAACAGAAAAGAGTTCTGACCTCTTACAAAGATTTGCTGTTAGAATCCAAGTTGAAGTCAAAAAGGATGTCCCCAACCGAAGCTAGGTACTCATTTTTACTCGAGTCAAGTGAGGGAATAAGTGCAAAGTGTCTTTTCCAAGGACACAACACTTTGTTTCTGTCAGGGATTCGAACCCAGAACCTTCGGATGCTGAGTCAACAACCCTGGACCAAAACACCACAATACCACCAAGTTGTTGTGACTATGGAGACGCGACAAGTGCGGTGCGATCTTAAACAGTGGGGCAGCGACATTTGCTTGGAGTTAAAAGCATCACGAGTACACCACACCTCGGTGAAGAATTCTCGAGGAAGCCACTTGAACATGAAAGCAAGACGCGTACACAGGAGAAACGGACTCTGCCTCCTTACAAAGCTTTTCTGTGTAAAGCAGTATTAGCGATGTGCACGTTTCCTTACGGTATGGGGGCCTCTTGGAGATATAAACACGAGATGTACACAACAAAAGAGGTCTGACTTCTTTCAATGTCCAATTGTAAGTCTAACTCTAGTCCTGAGCAATGATTCCAACCCTAACCCTAACCCTAACCCTAACCCTAACACTAACTCTAACCCTAACCCTAACACCAACCCTAACTCTAACACCAACCCTAACCCTAACTCTAATACCAACCCTAACCCTAGCCCTGAACAATGATCCTAACCCTAACTGACTTCTTACAAAGATTTGCTGTGTAAAGCAGTTGGACGGTATGGCGGCCGCCTGGAGATGGAAACACGAGGTGCACACACCATGACACACCCTGATAACTTGTCTGACCCAGGGATCCGGCCGGCTTAATGTCTCACTATCATTTCCTCATCAGTGTCGGGCGCGTGCCGGGCTCACCTGGCGCGGCAACATGGTGGAAGGTATTTACAGACGGGTGATCTTTGATGGGTTAGCGCTAACTGTTGGCATGAAGGAAGCAACTGATGCAGAAACAGCCTGAAAACATGCCGGGCATAGCTTGGACTAGCTATAGTCTCCAACTTTAGTTAAGTTAGCAGACTAAGAACGCGGGTTCAAAACAGTAGCTAGTATAGTACCTTGATAAATAGGAAGAAGAACTGGCCAGTGGAGTTTGTCCTGACAAATTATTTGCCCGAGGCCTGAACTCGAAAATTGTAAAAAAAAAATGTAAAAAGTTATTTTTTAGCTGCCACTTAAATAAGTTGAAAGTCAACCATGATCAAAATCACGAGTAAAATAGTAGAATACGACACAACGCTCACAATACCGTTTTACTATAGTTTTGCTGGTGTCGTTGAACTGCCTATTTGAAATCCACGTTTCAGTAATTTATATCATTAATTACACCTTGTGCGCTATAAAACTCACAGTCGTGACCTTACAACTGAAAGGTTTAACTTTAATCTCCGATCATGTTTGCAGGATTACAGTTAATGTACCCCCGATCTAATTATGATTATGAATACGCAAATTGATTATATCCTTTATCATAGCTATGACGTAAAGAAGATCGTGCTTTGTAGGCAACAACTTGGTCTCCATGGAAACCGACCGTACCATTACGATTAATGTAATATCGTCTGAACCAGTATCGCACTTGATGTTGTTTGTATTAAAGTTACACAAAAAATTTGCATCATAAATCATTTTATAAATTACCAATATTAAACACTTAACTGCTATAAGTTATTTCTCCGCTAATATATAATGAAGATAGAGCTAAGTTTAGAGTAAACAAAGTTTGGGAGTTTTGTAATCAAACATGTAAATATTGTGCGATGTTGCTAGGGAGACGGACGATACCATTTCCAGTGATGTTTTCTTGTCGTCTTCATCGGAAATTATTTTAGTCCGTTTTGTGCGAGTAGATGGAAAAGGCAAGAGCATCTCTGTGACAGGTAAGATAAGTATATTCTTTACTTTTTACGCATAAGATGGATTTTGAAATTCTCCACAGCTTCTGAGATCGACAGATGTGTCCGACATGTTCATAATATACATACGTATAACCAGGCAAAGGTAAGCATACATATACATGCGTGCATAATTTTTCTAGTCTCAAAAAAAGAACTTTTCATGCCCTCTCACAATTGCAGTCAAGAGAGACTGTACTACAAGTGCATCTTGTACTGACTAACTAAGTGTACTAACAATGTACATATGGTAAAAGGCATGTCGTGTCCACAAAGTAGTTCACATTCCAGTATACAGTCTCTCTAGCCTCGGAGTCCGTAGTAGGTCATAGAACTGGGGGTTTGGTGGTCTTCTGCTGTTTTCTGATTAGCCCAGTTGCAAAAAACGGGGGTAATTCAACCAGGCCGGCTATGATGTCTATATGCAATCAGAAAATAGCACATAAAAGTTCCCAAAGACCCTGAAGACCCCCCAAAAAACAGTTTTTGACATGCTATGGAGGCTACTCTCTCCCCACGTTATCGCAAAGTAACGTGTTTCACCCCGGAAACCCGCGAAGTTTGTAACAAAGCCGTCCAAACACGTCATAACAAGGCGGCAAACGAGATATACACACGGCAAACAAACCTCAAACTACCGTACATACTGTACAGAACTCACTCAAACTTCGGGCGCGAGTCGTTCCTTCGTTATTGAGAAGTAGTGCGTTTTTCCCACAAAGCGGCGACAATCTGCCCCCGCAATAGCCTCCACCATAAGGGGTTGTGGATGGCAGAATTTGACGAAAATAAGGGTGGACCTGGAGAGTAGGTCCGTGGTAAGGGTAACACTTCTCCTAACAGCGTGGGCATGTGTGAGTTCTGTGGTAGCCAAATTCTCTTTATTACGCTTAATTCTACTCAGACTATCTTTTTCAGCCCCCGTTGTTAGTCTGGTCGAGGCTATCCCCACCAGTTACCTATCATATCCAGAACCGTGCCTGTCTAGTTCTATGAGTCAGTATGACCGAATAGGCTAGGGTTCAGGCACGGTTCTGGATAGTCGACGTCTCTGCGTATCCAAGAACGTAGATGTGGCCCAGGCATGGTTCTGGATACGCGTGGACTATCTAGGACCGTGCCAGAGCAGGGTTCTGGAAAAAGTTAAGTCCGGTTCTGGATACAAACGTGGCCAAGTTTCCCTAGCCAATTACTCCTCCATTCGTCTAAACGTTACAATTTGACAGCCTAATGCGTTAAAGCGTTACACGTTTTTTTAGCCTGGTGCAGACTAACCTCACAAGTGGCAAATTTGTTTTCCCTATTCGCTACATGTTACGATGTTGCTACTTCACAACGTTGCTACCTAACTAGCCTAACCCCACACGCCCCGGTAAACACGCGATGTTTGCCCGGGACCAACACGAGGTGGGAAAACAAATAGCTGCGCACACACGCAGCACGGAGACCGGAGGGCGGGCTTTGTTTCCCCGACAGTAAAATGAACTGTGAGGGGAGTTTATAACTCTGACTGCTGACGGGAGGGTTGGAAGCACCTGTCAGCAGGTGGGTTACCTGGACAGGTGTGTTACCTGGACAGGTGTGTTGCCTGGACAAGTGTGTTACCTGGGCAAGGTGACTCGCGATCCGGTACACCTGAAGAAAGCGTAGAGACAGCGTGGTGAACTAAGAAGTACACAGTACAGGTAAGATTCTTGACACACGCTCAGTCTTAAGCAATGGAATTTCTTAAGCGTAAGCCAGGCAAATCTATAACTTAGGGGAGGGCACGTGGTAACAGGCGTTAATAATACTTGTGTGCACCTTGTAGGCGTTTAAGACATTAAGGGCTGAAACCTGGAATGCAAGTGAGTTGTCTTTAAATATTAGCTGAGTTTTAAAAACCCTGCGTGCAAAAAACAAGAACAAGCGAAAGCATTTATTCGTTAAGGGTACAAGTATGTTAAGGTGTGACTAAATTAATGATATTGTTACTTACGATGCCCAGTTGAGACTTGAGATACAACGACGCTTTCTTCAAGATTGGGCAGTTTTCACCCCTTAGATTTGAAATTCATTAGTATAGCTATGTGAAATAGTGGTGGTAACAAGACGTACGTTAAGTACATTATATACATGTTCATTGTACGGGAGAAACTTCCCTGTTTTTGTAAGCAAATAGCGTTACAATAAGCCATTGACACAATCGTTTGTATGCTAGCCTTATTAACTGTTGGCTGTTTATGTAAGTATGAGTGATTATG